GTTGTCCTTAGATTTCAGTTCCCTTGAGCATCCTATACATCCCTTTACCCCATCCAATTTAATTCCCTTCAATAAAACAACCAAACCAAAGCTCAAGGCCTAATTTCTGTCTGTGGATGAAAGTGGTGTGGAAAATGCTAACTGAATGGCTGTGCAGGACTATAGGGGGACCCAAATTCATCAGCAATCCCTAAGGGGGTAGTGCTACAAAAAAACGTTTGACCAAAGCAGTTCCATGCAAAGACACAGTATACTTACCTCTTTGACTGCCCATAATGGATACCATTTCTTTAATTGGCATCAGAATCATCAGCAACCAATAATTTAAGGAGATTTGGATGCCTTTGTTCCCTGTTGAGGGTCTGTTCTCTGACCTCTGTGTCAATACTGTGTCTTGTAGTGACAAAAGGGTTGGAAGATGGAACAGCAGGACATGGTGGAAGACACAGGCATCCGACATCTCATAATTGTCAAATGCAAAATACACTGACAGAGGCTTCAGGTCTGGAACGGAGTGAAGGTAGGAGATATGGCCACAAGAGAGGCAAGTATACTGTGTCTTCTTTTGCAGGTAACCCTTGGGACAAAAGTTGCTTTAAATATTTACACCCAGGTCTGGCTATATTAGCTAATGCATACCAGGGTATAATCATTTCTATGGTGAGTATAACCTGTAGCCTACAAGAATTGCATACAGGGCAGGATAGAACAGCAGCATTTCCCAATGAGAACAGATATGCACCCTTACATCAGATGTACTGCAGATCAGTACCACAAGGTAATTTGAAAGCTAGTTTTTCTGATGAAAGTATTCAGTGATGTTTGAGCCCAGAAGCTTTTACAGCAGCTTTTCTCGACCTTCTTACTATGGAAGAACTCTTGAAACAACTTTTTGGCTTCAGCTAACCCCTGCTAACCCCTTACAGATAGATAAAAAGATTGTTGGTGTCAGTGGTTACTCATCTCAGAGGCAGATATTCCTTAATATTTGAGGAACCCCTAGCAACCTCTGTAGGAACCCTAGGGATCCACAGAACCCTGGGTGAGAAAAACTGTTTTACAGTAAGTGAATTCATAATTAATAGTCAAGGTAAGGAAAAAAATGCAATGGTGGTTATACACATCTGACATGTCTTACCTGTGATTACAAATGTCACAATAGCTGACTTCCATAGACTCATTATTGAAGGTACAGTGTTGCATTTCCAGTTCCTATTAAAAAAATATTTAGGATGTTTACATTTATGCTTTATGAAATATTCAGACAGTAATGCTTAACAAAGATGCTTTGTTACTATAAACAGGATTTGGACGATCTGAATTCAGATTGTTTAGATAATTTAGTGGTAATTATAATAATTACAAACCACTATATTAAGTTATGGTTTGTGGTATGTTTGATTCTTCTTAGTGAGGCTTAATTATAATTGCAAAAAGACAAACCCCCGGGTTCAGGGTGAGTAAAAAAAAAAGTAAGCTGGAAGACTCAACCTTGCGAAAATGACCATTTAATAATGACTATTGACTGACTCACCGAGGCATTACTGAATGCCAAAAACACTTAGCAAAGGCACTCTCTAAAGCTGCATGTATAATATAGTATATAGCTAGTAGATTTCTGTTCAAAATGTTTCGCTTTAAGAATGTGCTTCGTTTTTCTAATCATCAGTGGGGTAAAGTCAACACTGTTTTCTTTTACTTCAGTGACAAGAAAATTTGAAGGAAAAGGATAGAACATTTTTCTAGAACAAATGAATTTCTAACAGTGTATGTGGTTTTTGTTTGGTGAAGTTCATTCACCCCAAAATCAAATGGTAAAAGCAAATTAAATAGTTTTGAATGACATTCGTCAAGGTGTTGAATGTACAGAGAATTTATGTATGACTGTTCATATGAATGTTTGTTCAAGGTTCTTCTAGTGCAGGGGTCTCCAAACTATGACCATCCAGCTGTTGAAGTACTACAAGTCCCATCATGCCTCTGCGAGTCTTGCCTCTGGCTCTCAGTCTTGCCAGACTTCATGGAACTTGCAGTTCCTCAACACCTGGAGGGCTAGTTTGGAGACCCCTATTTAGTGTATACCCAGCTTTATCCTAGCCATACACTAGTCGAAAAATCGTTCAAACACATTTCTAAAAATCGAACACACAGTCGTGAGAGCGTGTAATATTGCCTTCATATAATGACCAATTTTCGAGCAATAAATTATTCAATGGACATACATGATGCAGTTTTTTTGTTTGTTTTGTCACACTTGCGCAGTATGAACAGTATGATTTTAAATGGGCAAGAAATACATTAATCTTTCAGTTTATCGTCCTTTGGAAAAAAAGTTTTTCAGACTTTTTTCTTTTACTTTTTTGGCTCAAAAACATCACTATTGATTTTCGGTTTGTGCCCATTAACTGGATGAAAAATGGAATTAACTGTCCAAATGACAGATTTTTTAATGATTTTTCATCTACTGTATGGGCACCAATAGTCTTAGAATAATTAGTGTTAGTTAGTTACACCACTAAACTAAATCTGGCCATACACAGATAGGCCCCTTTCACACGAATGTTCTGATCGGGTCCGTCTGTCCGTCTTACAGGCAGACCCAATCTCCTCTATGGAGCGGTGGGTGTCAAAAGACATGTTCGTTTACACCCACCTACATCCAATCTGATCTGATCCACTAAAAACAGACAAATGGGGATCTGTTCTCCTTCTGTTCAGCAGATCAGATTGAATTGACAGGCAGTCCAAAGCGGGGTGGATAAGCGGAGCTGACAAGGACCTGTCATCTGTTTGCTAAGCAGAGATCAGCAGACAGATCCCCTGCTGAGAAAGCGGATTGCAGGTGGAGTTTGCCCCATGTTAAAGGGGCCATAGATTTGTTTCTGTTAGCATGGTGGATATCCTACTTTGGCTGTCATCTGATTGGATGCAGGTACTGTTTGGCTGACAATTTTTACCTCCTGACTCCAATTTTTCAGGTAAATGATGTCAGGTGGTGATGGGGGGTTGCTGACAGGGACACCCATGGAGTGAATTTGGTTTGTCGGGAACTGGCCGATATTAGCTCTGTGTATGACCAGCTTTAGCATATACGCACAGCAGAGGCAAACAGCAGGAGGCCAGAATGCTGGGCAGACACGTTGCATTTGCTTTCTAAATCACTAGCAAGGTGATGTCATGATTTTTCACAAAGATGACAAAGAAGATCAGAAAAGTCTTGGCTTGAGACTAGAAGAGTGCAATATAGAAGCCTCAAGAAAAGTAGTGAACATTGTGCCTGACAACTCATGGGGCCCCCAGGCAAAGGGGATTATGGGGCCCCTGATGTCCTTGCCCAAAACAAAAAAGCTATAAATGGTACCAGGCAGGGACTGACAACTCATGGGGCCCCTGTTCAATAGGGGATCATGGGGCCCCTGTGTCCTTGCCAAACTCGAAAAAAGCCCTATGAAAAAAGGTACCATATATCTCATGGGGCACCCCTGACCCTGGGCCCTCGGGCAGTGCCCGAGTTTCCAAATGGAAAATTAGTCCGCCCCTGCTCAAGAAAATTATTGAACAAGTGTGCTTGAAATTTAAGGAGTTAAATGGAAAACACACATTTTAGAAATATGGATAAGCAGCTTTAACATAGTAGTAAAACACTTCCCAGCTTTCTGAGGTGGCAATAAGGGACAACTATAAGCAAAAGTATTTTATTTACAACTATATAGGGCACACCAGGGCCATGCCCCCTTACAAGGAAAAGTAATGCACCAAAAATAGGGGATCATGAGGCCCACAAGTGCTTTTTTTACCACGACTAAAAATGCTTTATAGTGAAAAGTACTAGATGCAACAATTTAGAAATTGGACTGACCCCAGGTCCTCGGGCAGTGCCCGAGTTTCCAAATAGTGTATTTTATTTACAACCCTAGGTCAGACCAACATGAGGGACAAATGAGGAGGAAGAGGGACAGAGGGACTTTTTTCCAAAAGAGGGACAGTCCCTCAAAATCAGGGACAGTTGGGAGCTATGCCAATAGACAATATTAAGACATATACTGTAGCAGGTGATGTAGGTTAATTCTTCAAACCACCCTTGGCAAAGAGGAAGGAAGAATCCTTTGAAAAATGAAGTTTGCAATCAACTTTAATCAGTTGTTACTTGTGTTACAGGTGTTAATCAAGGTTTTGTTCACCTACGCCACTGGTTGGTTAACATTGCTGTCGGCAGGTGGAAAGGGGTTTGCTCTTTCCACCTTGGGCACCTTTCCCATATACATTGACACAGACACAGAAATCAGTAGATGGATATGTGTTGCTGTGCCTGTGTATGAAGACTTAAAGCAGCCTTTCTCAACTTTTTCAGAACAGAGGAACCCTTGAAATAACTTTCCTGTCTCAGATAACCCCTGCTAAAAATGACTATATCTGCAACTCGTGATACATTAGTGTGATGGTCAGTGGGAAGAATGGTCCTTACATTAGTAGTCATTGGGAAGAATTATCCCTTTACAGATAGCTAAAAAGATCAGTGGTGTCGGTGGGAACTTTTCTGAGTGGCAGAAATTGCTAATTTATTAAGAAACCTCTAGCAATCTCTGGAGGAACCCCAGGATTCCATGGAACACTGGTTGAGAAATCCTGTCCTAGAGGAATACATGGCTCAGCACATTGAGAATGCAGATGGGGATGAAAGGATATGCAGCAGCTGACTGCCTACCTCTGATCACAAATCCTGCCTTAGGCCTCATTCACATGGCCGTAAAAAACACATATACAGCATTTTCTATATCTGAAACCAACTGCATAATTTTAAATGAAGACATTCACACAGGTGCATAAACATGCACTACGTTGAAATATATAACTCCAAAATCCAAAACATCTGCATCTGAGGACATACAGATACACATACACTATATTGCCAAATGTATTGAGACATCCCTCCAAATCACTGGATTCAGGTGTTCCAATCATGTCCATGGCCACAGGTGTATAAAATCAAGCATATAGGCATACAGACTGCTTCTACAAACATTTGTGAAAGAATGGGTTGCTCTCAGGAGTTCAGCGAATTCAAGTGTGGTTCCGTGATAGGTGCCAGCTGTGCTACTAAATATTGCATGATCAACTGTGAGTGGTATCATAACAAAGTGGAAGCAACTGGGAACAACAGCAACTCAGCCAAGAAGTGGTAGGTCACATAAAATGACAGAGCGGGGTCAGTGCATGCTGAAGCACACAGTGCGCAGAAGTCGCCAACTGTCTGCAGAGTCAGTAGTTAAAGACCACCAAACTTCATGTGGCCTTCAGATTAGCACAACAACAGTTCATAGAGAGCTTCATGGAATGGGTTTCCATGGCCGAGTAGCTGCATCCTAGCCTGAGATCACCAAGTGCAATGCAAAGTGTTGGATACAGTGGTGTAAAGCACGCTGCTACTGGACTCTATAGCAGTGGAGATGTGTTCTCTGGAGTGACGAATCATGCTTCACTGTCTGACAATCCGATGGATGTGTCTGGGTTTGGTGGTGGCCAGGAGAACAGTACTTGCTTGGCTGCATTGTGCCAAGTGTAAAGTTTAGTGGAGGGGGGATTATAGCGTGGTGTTATTTTTCAGGGGTTGGGCTTGGCCCCTTAGTTCCAGTGAAGGAAACTCTTAAGGCATCAACATAACAAGACATTTTAGACAATTTCATGCTCCCAACTTTGTAGGAACAGTTTGGGGGTGACTCCTTCCTGTTCCAACATGACTGCGCACCAGTGCACAAAGCAAGGTCCATAAAGACATGGATGAGCGAGTTTGGGGTGGAGGAACTTGACCTGATCTCAACCCGATAGAACACCTCTGGGATGAATTAAAGTGGAGACTGCGAGCCAGGCCTTCTTGTCTGACATCAGCACCTGACCCAATAAATGCGCTTCTGGAAGAATGGTCAAACATTCCCATAGACACACTCCTAAACCTTGTGGACAGCCTTCCCAGAAGAGATAAAGCTGTTATAGCTGCAAAGGGTGGGCCAACTCAGTATTGAACCCTACGTACTAAGACTGGGATGCCATTAAAGTTCATGTGTGTGTAAAGGCAGGCGTCCCAATACTTTTGGCAATATAGTGTATGCCGGATAAAGGTATTGGGGGGAAAAAGGACAGTTTTACGCAAGTATTTACTGATTGTAATGTAACTGTTGTGCTTGAAAAAAACATGTGTAATAGGATCAGAAGAATTTTTTTGGCCATGTGAATGAAGCCTAAAAGGAAGCAAAGTTGTTACTGTCCAGATTAGCAATAAAATGGCAAATACAGCAATACGATATAAAGCAGAAATTCAATGTACAGCTCCTAAGATTCATCTTGCGTTTACTGATGTATATTACACTCAATGTCAGTCATTGTCAACTAAGCTAAATGAGATTTACATGGCTAAATAAGAGAGCTATATCCTTATGTTCAAGTGGAACTAATAGTCCCCTAAGCTTCACCGCTGTGGTGTTGCTTCATTACCAGCCACTGACATCCTTAGCCGGTCTTCTTCCGGATATCAATTTTTGGCTATTTTCATTGGCTGGGATGAAATTATGTCACTCTCATGCATGCACGGGAGTTCATTCATCTCAACAGATGCCAAAAAGTGCAGACAGACAAGAAGCTTTAAAGCGGTATTAAATCCAAAACCAAAAATTTAATATATTGCAGCTTACCAATCATTAGATGTGGTGACTGCATTAGTTTTCTTGTTTAGGGTTTTTGCCCTCTGTTTTCACCTGGTGATCTGGTCAGTAACACACGTCCTGTATTAGAGTGCCCCCAGGCTGGATGAATGAGCACAGGTGGTACAGCAGCATTGGGAGCCGGGGGGGGGGGGGGGGATGGATGGAGTAGCAGATTTAGATACAGTAACAAACTAAATCCAAACTCCAACTAACAGTTTATAATCAGTTACAATAAACGTTGTTTTTCCTTTTGGGATAAAGGCTTTACACAAATAAATAAAATCTGATCATTGTAAGCATCACTAGTGTTAAATGGTTTGTCTCCATAACTGACACATTCTTCAGGACAGATTGTTCTTTTGAAAAGCAACAGACTTACTGGCTGGATCACCAGATGTAAATAGAAGAAAGAAAACCTTAAAAAAGAAAACTAATGCAGCCATCACATCTAAGAAATGGTAAGCTGAAGTATATTAAATGTTTGATTTTGGGTTTAAGACCACTTTAATGCTGAAGAGACATGTTCTTTCTGCCTTAAACACCTGCCTGTTCACATTTTTTAAAATTATAGTACCTAGGTAAACCTCAAACTGTTTTTTTGCATGAAAAGCTAAAAACAGTGTTAGTTTTTTCCTGTGTGCCTCATTCGGGAGATTTCCTTTCCCTTCCTTTCCTGTACGCTCAATAGGAAGTGAGAGGACATCTTTCCAATATGTGGGATATTCCTTGGTAGCCGTTGGCCACAAGTACAAGTGTTCCAGTCAGAAAATGTCTGTGAAAGTTACATGAAGTCTGTTAATTATTCAGTGAATCCCATATCTGTGCACAGGGATCACAAAGCAGTCAGATAATCTAATATGCAGTTTTTTGCAAAAACGCACTACAATCCCTTTAACATGGTTTCCTATAGGACACGTTCACATCTATGCATTTTTCAGCAACTGTGTTTTTGGAAAGGGTCAGAGACATTTTTAAAAACAACACTGTGTGTTTTTGGTTCAATCAACTTCAATGAACATGCAACAGAAATGCATGTAGTGCATTTTTTATGCGTTTTTGATGTTTGTTTTTTGCCAATAGGAAAGTATTGCCTTTGATGCCACTTTGATGCAACTTTGAATGGGTGCAACTTTTTTTTTTTTTTTTTGCTAATAGGAAAGTATGACAATTCTGTTCATGTAGTACACATTTGGTGCAACTTTACGCTTTCTGGCACTCAAGCAGTAAGTCGCATTAAAGTCACACTCATCCAAACTCACATGTAAGTCGCATCCATCCAAATTCACATCATAGTGGCATCAAATTTTGGCAAACAAAGAAAAAAAGGTGTCAAGAACACACGTTCAAAATTGCAAAATGCACTGCAAAACGAGTCATAAAAACACATCAAACACAACACGCAGAGATGTGAACCTAGCCTAAGGGGTAAGTTTAATGTGGGTTGGGGGGGCTTTAAAAACAAATGGTCAAGCAATGTTATTAGCGCCCTCTCTCCCTTAATAGGATTGACACCTCATCCCTTTAAAACTGAACACATATTGACAGGGGCGGACTGACAACTCATGGGGCCCCCGGGCAATAGGGGATCATGGGGACCCTGTGTTCTTGCCCAAACTTAAAAAAGCCTATGAAAAAGGTACCAGGGGCATCTCATGGGGCCCCCTACTGACCCCGGGCCCTCGGGTAGTGCCCGAGTTTCCAAATGGTCAGTCCACCCCTGCATATTGATTACTCAGGTATAGCGGTCTGCATCACCTGGCTTAGAAGGAGAAAAAAGCATCAGAAAAGTATTTTCCCACTGGGAAAGTTTAATTTAAAGCCCCATTCATTCTGTTGCATAATGGGAATGGGTGCGAATGTGCAGCAGGAGGCACTGCATGTTACTTTCAAAATGGCTTCCCAACGCACCTCACCGCCAGCGGTGCGCTACACAGGACTAACATGCATCGTAGTGCAGTGTGCTTAAAAAAAAAAAAAACGTGCAAGTCCAATATCTGTACCATTGAGTTGCATGCCTGCCAATTCATTTTGTGTAAAAATGTGCATGCTTTAACACTGTGAACCTCAGTAATTAGGGGTGAACCTAGCTTTAGGCTTTATTGTACTCCCTAAGAAGTAATGGAAGAATTATTGATAAATTTATATTGTAAAGCGCTGAGCAAACTGTTGGCACTATATAAATCCTGTATAATAATAATAATAAAGGGCTGCAACTGTCAAAAAGCAGATCAGGCCAGGCTACTATAACATATGCTTTATTTATAACGAGACCCAAATTTCCCTGCAAAGTATGGGAATTCCCTATATGCAAATGTAACCCATTCCAGTGAGAGTGACAAATTTGGTTTTCAAGTGAACAATGGCTGTTGAATGGCTTTCCAGTGAATGACACAGAGCTCAGTCATAAGTCTGCATTCCTTTTTGTTTATATGAATGCAATTGCACAATACTGATAAAGCAGGTTGTGTTAAGTTGCATTATCCTTTTTGTCCATGAAGGGGTGCTGTTGTAATAATTGTAACTCAGATCTGCTTTCACTATTTACCTGACCTTAGAACCCCACTGTGTAAAGGCATGTGGGTTATCTAGCTCCTATAAAAAAAAAGAAAAAAAAAAGTGAACTGTCATTCACATGTTACCTGTCAGGGAATCAACACTCTTTGAAGAGTACTGTTGTGGCTGGTGAGTAGAAATTTAAATAATTAAGAGCTAAACTAAACAGAATATTTTTAATTGGCCAATGTCTTGAGAACTGCCTCTTTTTGCAAGCTCTTCTCTGCAGTACACTGAAATGAATAGAGTCGATTAGCTAAAACTGATGAGTGCAAAATCTGCTGCATGGCATCAAGTTCAGCTTGTTCAATTAAAAGATAAGTTCTCTTTTTGGCCAAAAGTAATAAATGCCTTTTACAGGTAAAAAAAAAAATGTGTATTTATTATTTTTGGTTGCAGGAGCCTGTAAAGCATTGCACCAGTGATCAGGAGATATTAAATCTAAAGCCAAAAATATATTTCAGTTTACCAATCATTAAATGTGGTGGCTGCATTCATTTCTTAGTTTTTTCCTCTGTTTTCACCTGGTGATCTGGTCAGTAACTCACCTCCTTTTTTTGAGTTCTCTGACTCTGGATGTAGGAGCACATTTGACACATTTGGACAGCAGCAGTGTCATTCTGGAGGGAGGGGAGTGTTAGATGTCCTAGCAGATTTAAATACACTAACAAATTGAAGCCAAATTCCAGTTCACAGTTTATAGGCCATTACAGCCATTTTCTTTCTTTTTGGGAAAGCTGATCATTGTATGCACCCCTGTCAGCGGTAAATGGTTTTTCTCAACCCTGCAACTGCTACATTTGCAGGAAAGCTTGTTCTTTTGGAAAACAACATAATTACTTGCTGGATCACCAGATGAAAACAAAGGAAAACTAATACAGCCATCACATCTAAGAACCGCTGAGCTGTAATGTAATACATGTTTGCTTTAAACCCTATAATTTTCCATTTGTCATGGAGAAAATAATCCATACTCTGTTACCTGCAGTGAATTATATGTAAAATACAACTTATCAGTTCAGGTAACTTCAGTAAAGCAGCATGACAGTTAATGGAGTGTGTTATCTGGTAATACAAACTGTCATAATCCGACACGTTTTATAAACTAGTGCAAGCTGGTTCCCGTACTTCAAATATTTTTTGTTAAATGGCAAACAAAATATGTAGTATTTTGATAAATGAGTT